AGAATAGAATAGAATAGAAAATGGAATGGAATGGAATGGAATGGAATAGAATAAAGAATAGAATAGAACAGAATAGAATAGAATAACAGAGTTGGAAGGGACCATAGAGGTCTTCTAGTCCAACCCTCCTGCCTAGGCAGGTGCTCCATCACTGGAGCTTTTGAAGAAGAGACTGGACAGCTATTTATCCCGAATGGCATAACCAATGATCTCCTGCTCGAGCGGGTTGGACTAGTAGCAGCTATACTGATAGGGCTTGATGATGGTCAGATGAAGACCCTGATCTAATATTTTCAGCCATCTGTTTATATGGGACTTTGAATCCACTTTCATTTTCTTCCTTTGAATGGGAAAATGCTTTGCAATGTCATCCTCTCTCTGTCTTCCTCCCTAAGCAGATCATGACCTCATTGTGATCTAAGCTTTGTGGTCTTAAAAAACAACAACAACAACCACACACACACGCACACCCCGGTTCCAGGTACTTGATGGTTTGTACAGATCCTATTTCACCTGCAATTATGGGCAGCCGCATCTTGATTTGGGTGAACTTGCAGTCTGCAAATTAAACAATGTGATTGTCCCTCCAAGATGACCTGATCCAAACTCGACTCACTAAGAAGCCATTTTGGCTAATCCCTTCAGGCAGTTGTCATTTAGAAACTTCAGGGATTCCTCAGGAATCGTGCGCAGCCGTTATAGGGTTTTGGGGGTTGTTTTAAAAAGTCACAGCGGAGTAAAATCGGTTGGCTGATGAGTAGGTGAGTCAGAGAGCCTGTTGAAACATTTGTGGAGTTGTGAAGCAATTCTGGGTGATCTTGGGACAGGCTCTCTCTCAGCCCTAGGGAAGAAGGATAGAATAGAATAGAATAGAATAGAATAGAATAGAATAGAATAGTTTATTGGCCAAGCGTGATTGGACACACAAGGAATTTGTCTTCAGTGCATAAGCTCTCATTGTACATAAAAGAAGATACATTTGTCAAGAGTCAAGAATCATCAGTTACAACACTTAGTCATAGGGTACAATAAGCAATCAAGTCATACTAGAAACAGTCAATAAAAATCATTAGGATACAAGCGACAAAGTTACAGTCATACAGGCCCAGGTGAGAGGGGATAGGTGATAAGGAGTGATGAGAAGATTAGCAGTACAGACTTTGTAAATAGTTGGACAGTGTTGAGGGAATTATTTGTTTACCAGAGTGATGGCATTCAGGGAAAAGTCCTTGTGTTTAGTTGTTCTGGTGTGCAGGGCTCTATAGCATCGTTTTGAGGTAGGAGTTGAAACAGTTTATGTCTGGGATGTGAGGGGTCTGTAGATATTTTCACAGCCCTCTTTTTGACTTCAGATTTTTTTTTAAATAAAGACAAATGTACTTATTTTTCTACTTAAACTTTTGCTGTTTTATTTAGAAATGCCTTCAGTCATCAAGGATTGATTTAGAAATATATTAGCCCTGTGTTTGAGAAATCATTTTTAAGACACCCATGCGCAGAGTTAGCACTTACTACTTCGAAATAGTTGATGCAGTGAAATCCTCAGAAACCTGCTAGTTGACATCCAAAGTGAAATATTTTTGCAAGAACAATTCACAAAAGGACACAGGATGATATATTTGTTCCAAAGAAACTTTCACATTTTTTTTTTCAAATTCCAGTTTTCATCCCAGATAACAAACTGCGTTTCCTTCTGCATCCCACACGTGTTTTTATTCAAGCTGTGAGACACGGAAAAATTTCCTCAGAGCCTGTCAGCAGCGAAGTGTTTAAACTACCCAACTTCGGCTTGTCTTTGGAAATTTTGATTTCTGCCTTGTGGATCTTTACGCTTCCTTAAATGTGCCACTCTGGAGTCAGTGGTTTCTACTGACAATAGAGTAAATTCACCAAAGAAACCACACTGTATGTCATGGAAGGATGGAAATAGAGATATTTTTGGACTCATCTGAGCAATTGTCGAATGCCAGTTTATTTGGCGTTGTTACCAGGGAATTGATTTGTGCAGAACATCTTTTTTTAAGCTGTTGTCTACTAATAACAAAAATCCCACTCAGTGGAACTCTTGGGAATGTCTTTCTGAAAAACAGGTTTAAGGAAGTGAAAGCCAGGTTTTGAGGATACCCATTGTAGAAGTCTCTATGAAGGTGAAGGTTTGTTCTCCCAGCTAAGATACAGATACAGATTAAGAGAGTTGGAAGGGACTTTGGAGGTCCCTCTGCCTAGAATGTTTTACAAGTTGACACAGGTGACCCTACACCATTTTGGGCAGCTTGTGGATTGGTTTCCAAACGTTTCATTACCAAGCTGGGTAACACCTTCATCAGAGTTTAGGGGATGTCCGTGTCAGTGTTCTTCTGTTTATAAGGGCTCCAGGTGTGGGTGGCAAGGGAGGGTCTTGTGATGAGTCAGGTGTGAGTCATCAGTGAGAGTCTCGTGATGGGGGTTACAAAGGGTGATGAAGTTCTCCAACCTCTTGTTTTGTGGGTCAGGTAGATATGACTAGGAAAAGATGTCCTTCAAAGGGTGATGAAGTTCTAAAATCTTCTCTTTTGTGGTCAGGTAGATATGACTAGGAAAAGATGTCCTTCAAAGGGTGATGAAGTTCTCCACCCTCTTTTTTTGTGGGTCATGTTGATATGACTAGGAAAAGATGTCCTTCAAAGGGGTGATGAAGTTCTCCAACCTCTTTTTTTGTGGGTCAGGTTGATATGACTAGGAAAAGATGTCCTTCAAAGGGGTGATGAAGTTCTCCAACCTCCTCTTTTGTCCTTATAGGGCGAGACATGCCCTATACTTGGACACTAATATTTATCAGCTATGGTGTTTCTTAATTGTCTTCCTTTTTTCCCCCTTCTAGCTTTCAAAGACCTTGCAGGAGAAAGGCTGGCGAGTGGGAGACCTCTACCAGGCAGTTCTGAAATACTGCGAAGCCATGGAGAAGTCTGCCGATGGGGACAGAACTCTGGAAAGCAAAACACTTTTTGGGTGGCTTCAGGAGAACATCTGAATGGCCCAGGAAAGTTTCTCCTTGAATTCCACTTATGAATCCTCCTGGGAAAAAAAAAAATGAAAAAGAGAGAGAATGTGTGCTAACTAGCAAACGTAACATAATTTGTGTTGTGAGGCACATTAAGCTGGAAGTAAATACTAAGCATACTGTACTGTCAAGTGGCTTTGTGAAACTTGGGTGTGCTTTTAATCCTGTGTGTGTAGGATCTGAGTGAGGTTCTCCACTCGGTCAGTCTTCATCGGTCTGCAACTCTGCTCTGTTGCATTCTGTCTTTGAGTGAGGATTCCTGCCAAACTAGGACAAGGAATGACCTGTCATCTCAGTCTAGTTGTTTGTCTCTGTCCTTCGTCTTTGCCATTTTTCCCTTGCCTCTTTCCTTGGAACGAGCCGCCGGTCAAAAATTAGTAGTTCTGTGGGTCCTGCTGGGGTTTTATTTTCCGCTCTGAGGGCCTCGGGGCCTGCGGAGTTGCTTGCTCGTTTCTTTGCAGCTTCTACCAACTTTCAACCAAGTTCCGCTGAGGGTGAAGCTGAAGAGAGGACCAAAGTACATCCGAATTGGGGTAAAGGAAGGGGTCAGGATCAAAGTGTAGGATTTATTACTTGCACCAGTCAAAAACCAAGCATTCTCCATTCCCAAATGAAGGTTGTAATTCTCAATATTGAGAATTATGGTTGTATTGGAGAACGTGGATTGTAGATTTATGTTCTCCCATCACTATAATACTTTAACACTTCCAAAAGTTAGATACAAAAATATTACACTCCCTCCAGAATACATCTTTTTCATCTGTTCTGTAAAATACTCCCTTCATAAAACAAATAATTACAGAGGAGAAAAATAGAGTAGGCCAGTAGCCAAAAGATTGATTCCTCCAGTTGTGCTTCTGGCTTATACAGTCATGTCAGGAAACCTATTTAATATTGTGTGGTCAAAACATTGTCCCCAAACCAATGTAGTAGGGTTATAGGTCTTTTTCTTTTCTTTATTCAACTGCATTCTGTTAAAATGAGAACGCAGTAGATAAATATCATTGGCACAAAATAGTGATTATCAACCTTGGCCACCTGAAGATGTGTGGACTTCCAGCATACTTGGCTGAGGAATTCTGGGAGTTGAAGTCCACACATCTTCAGGTGGCCAAGGTTGATAAACAGTGGCATAAGACATATCAGCATGACATAATTGCTTTGGAGAAATGATCACAGATCCAGGAGATTCCTCCCATTTTGTGATGTGGATCTAGTTCAAGAGTCTTCAAACTTGGCCAGTTTAAGACTTGTGGACTTCAACTCCCAGAATTCCTGAACTAACATGACTTGAGGTGAAATTCTGGGATTTGAAGTCCACAAGTCTTCAAGCTGTCAAGTTTGAAGACCCCTGATCTAGTTGAACTAGTTTGTGCTTTATGGAGTAGAAAAGAGGAAGGTATGACTTCTGGAGACCAAATCACTGCATCAAACCAACATTTTGAGCTGGAGAACACTGCTGTTGGGTTGGTTATTGATGCTCTCTAGAAAACAGGCAATTTCTCCATTGGCTTCTAATAAGGGTGAAAATAAGGACAGAATGGAACAACTCATGCAGCCAACTCACTATGGTCAACTCACCATAGCCAATGTGCCGTAGGACAACTCAACAATTCAATGTAATTATTTAAAACAATTTTAACTTTTGTCATTCACATTTTATTTCTTTAATATTCCACTATTTCTTCAATATTAATGTAACTCTTGCCCCATGGCAAATTGGCCATGGTGAGTTGGCCATGGCAAGTTGGCCGTGGTGAGTTGGCCATGGCGAGTTGGCCATGACAAGTTGGCTGCGGTGAGTTGGCCATGACAAGTTGGCTGCGGTGAGTTGGCCATGACAAGTTGGCCAGAGTGAGTTGGCCATGGTAAGTTGGCCATGGCAAGTTGGCCATGGCAAATTGTCATAGACCCAAATGAGGATGCTGCAAAGAAGCAGAATCCCATGAGTTAAATAAATATACCTCTCCAGTCAATGGAGAAGGAGGGAGTAGCAGGTAGAAGGTATCTCTGAAGATTAATGAGATCTTCCAGGATTCTTCAGAGAGATTGGTGTTGCAAAGGAGGGATCCATACGGATTCCAGAGGCAGAAAGAGGTTGAATGATGTACTCTAATCCAGTCTTAATAGCAGACTCAAAAGTTAATAGTTGAAGTTGTGAAACCATTGTTTGTGTTGTGCTCAACTGGCCTGGAATGGCTTGGTTCTGCCTTTTCTTACTTGACTACTACGGAATGTGGAATTTACCTGTCCTTCCTGGAATATCAAAATACATCTCTGAATGCTGTTGTTTGCGTTGTTTGCTATATCCATTTCAGATTTCCTCTGTACATAAAGCTGTCTTGTTTTAGGAATTGTATCATATTCTGAATTGCTCTTAGGTGTGTTTGTGTGTGTGCGTGTATGAGTACAATGAATGAAAGTCAACACGAAGGTTTTCCACCATAATAAAAGACAGTTGGTGGTTAGAAAATGGACGCAATTAATTAATGAGATGTGAATTTCAAGTTGCACTAAAGTTGTTGTTTTAACAGTAAACTTAAAATAAATTGTATATAAGCAAACATCGGTGTGGTTTAAAATTTGTCTCTTCAAAGAAGGCAAGACTCAAGCGAGACTTCTTAGAGGGGCATTCCTGCCGTTTCCTAAAAAAATGCAAATCACCAATGCCTTCATTGTTTTCAACCTGACAATTCAAGTTGTTGCAAAAGCTGTATATATTACTGTTTCCTACTCCACTTACAAGAATGCCAGCAAAAATAATTTCCAAATATGATTTCACATTGCATTTGTTCAGTGGCATTTAAAGTTTTCTACCATCCCTGCTCTCTGTCAGAGCTATTGGAAAAACATTATGGACTCTGAAAAAAGGAGGGTTTTTTCCCCTCCTTACTATCCTGTCAGATAACTTGGACGAAAGAAGATTTCTAACCTTCTCTAGAGGTTATGGCTGACTCTTAGAAATAGGAGGCTGAATTTTTCAGGACTGGGCTGAGATCCAGCCATGTAGCTACAGTGCTTCATGTTTATTAAGACAAGTGTGCTTAATCTGATTCCAGAAATAGACACTTGATTATTGATCTTGTTTTGAGCAAATACATCTTCATTGACTGAAGACTTTCAGAAGTAGGGCCAGCCAGATTTTTGACAAAAAGGGTGGGAAGGAACTCAACAATATTCATCTGGGATATAAAACCTTAGAAACACGTAGGAAAGCAGACTATCTTAGCTTACTGGCTCATTAATATTTTCTTTTCCCCTTATATGAATAAATCATTAGTCAGAATCCTAATTCAGTCTTTTCAAATAACGTGTTTTAAAAAGCTGCCCGGAATCCTAAGATTTAAATTAATACTTGATCAGAAAAAAAGGATCTTCTCTAGAGACCTGGGACGTTCTTCCTCTAGAAAACATGATTTGCAAATGATTTTTGAGATCTCTTTATTGGGTTTTTTTTGTCAATAGTTTAAGTTTTCACCATAGCAACAGCATTTGTCCTTAACCTATCCAGAAATTAGATGTTTCTTGATACTTCTTGTTCCAAATTTAGTGGCTTTAATCCTACCTTGGATATCTTATGTTAAAGATTGTTTTGCTCTTAGTTATTGTAATTTGTTGAAAGAATCTCACAAATGCAGTGGTATAAATAGGATAGGATAGATAGGTAGGTAGGTAGAGGATAGGTAGATAGATATAGATAGATGAGATAGATGATAGGTAGGGTAGGTAGGTAGATAGATGATAGGTAGATGATAGATAAATGATAGATGATATGGATGGATGGATAGGTAGATGATAGATAAATGATAGATGATATGGATGGATGGATAGGTAGGTAGGTAGATAGACAGACAGACAGACAGACTGTTTAGGAGGTAGTCATCTCCAAAAAGTTAATTTGAAAAATTATGTGATTGTAATTGTACCTGTCCCTTAGGCTGGTATATATTAGCTTTGTAACAGGACATTCTCAAAAAAATACAGGGATGGGAAAACAGCCGAGGGTTTTCTGAAAGAACCATTAAGGCCTTCCTCATCCTCGCTCGAGGATTTATCAGTGGAACTCCTGGGGGAGACATCTCAAGTGGAAAAACATAAAACAACCATAAGAAGAAAAAACGTGTGGTCCATTGCATCCGTGTCATATGTAATATACAATATGAGTACCGTATTTCCCCATGTATAAGCACCCCCTTTGTATAAGCCACCCCCCCAATTTTTGGACTGTGAAGTTTTGAAAAAAATATTTTATTAGAGAAACAAGTTATGAAGAAAGAAAATTTACAAAGAAACAAAATTCGACGTCTAGATCTACAACTTCGGTCATGACGCCGAAAGCGGTGCGGGCGACGCTAGCAATCTACGCATCGGAACGAGAGTAGGAACGAAGCATTCAGGCCGATGCCTAGCGTATGCATTTCTATCGCGTACTCGCACTCGTAATCGTATCATCACGTACAATTTTTACAAAAAAGTATAGCATACTGCTGGAAAACCAGTTTATTCCTACTTTATTATTTTATGCATTTTTCACGTATAAAAAGTGTACCTGCTTTGTATATGCCACCCCCCCTACTTTTTGGGCTTGAAAATTTTGGAAAAAAGGGGTGGCTTATACATGGGGAAATACGGTAATCTGTTGTGTCCTTCCTCTCACTGTTGCTTGGGATTGAAGATCAAAACTGTTAGCAACACAGTTGTAAAGCAATCGATGACGAAGGACAGGAATTCGGGTTCCCATGGTGTATCCCAATGACTTCCAATTTCATCTGATTTTCCCTCCTTGGGTTCTACCTTCCATGGGAAGGTGGTGTTGGAGCTGAAAGCATGCTCCATCGCTTTCCTCCTGCTTTGGAGGAACATCACAACAGGATGTGCAGCCAGATGCTCTTCGTCTCACTGAAAACTTTGCCGGGCCATTTGTGTGGGCAGCTCCCGCTAGATTAGATCTATCTAGTTTAAATAAATGCAAATAACTTTATGTTTACTGCGGTCGATCATCGTTTCGCTGCCAAGATGAGAACAAAAATAGGTCAGAGGTTGAATGAAATGGTGAGAACTATGAGTGGGGCTGGAACATCTTGTTGGGACCGAGTTCAATGTTCTTGCTGCAGTTTAGTTAGTTCTTGTTATTGGTGCTACTGAAATTTGCATTGGGGTGACCTTTAGCTGGACAAAATGGTGCGCCACAGGGCAACAGTTTTTGAACCAAGGTCTCTCAAATGGCCTAACTTACAGAATGTGTCCAAAATCCCAGCATGTGTGAACCCAAGAGAACGAAATATGGGGAAAATGTGGCTGCTTCGATGCTATTGTTGCTGCTACTGTTGCATAGAAAACTTCATTTTCGATGTTC